CCTAAATGGGTGCATTGCCATAACAGGCGAATTTCTTCCATTCATTCCTCTCTGTGGGCTTTGAGAACACCGCGCAACTCTTATCCAACGACCGTCAATGGTGTCTCATTGGTCCCTTGTTGTTCACCGAATCGAATGGGACGGCAGCGTTGGTGGAACCGCAGAAGGTTGGTGTCTCGGTTGGGATCTTTTAGTGTTTAAGTTTCTGGGAGCTGTTGCAACTGGACTAGCGCGTTTGGGCGCTTGGTCGGGTAAGCCACAGAACAGGAGCTCCGAACTACTTTCAGGTCCTTGAAGACGCGAGATAGTCGAAACGTCGACCAAATAAAGCGGTTTCTACCTTAACAAACCTGTACGGCAGAACACTGCAAAACATTATGCAACATGCCCAGGTTTCAAGAAGACCGAACGTGGAATTTACCACGAAATGTACCGCTTTTGCTTTATTTTTCGTGGGTATAAACAAAAGAGTTGTATATTGAGGTACAACTGTAAGCTGCACGTTCCTTGACGAAATGCAGAGGGTGATCAAAGCAAGTGCTCCGGAAGAGATAGAAATGGATGAAAATGCGCCCGTTCAGGACCGCTTACGATTGTAATCGAGCTATTGACTCATCACATCCTCTAGGTAAGATACGACAGCAGCCAAAATCAGAACATAGAGGCAAGCATGTAAAGAGCGGGAGCATGCCAGAGGCCCGTTTCACAGGATGCTCCAAAGATGGCGATACCGAAGGTTCATGAGCATGTGGTTTTTCGAAACGATCAAGAGAGGCCACGTATTCGGTTGGTGACTTCTAGCCATAAAACATCTTCGAGCCGCTTCAACCACTTTCACTTTTGTTCTCTCTTCTTTACATGTAATGAGAAATAGAAGTTCTATGAAAACTTCTGGTCGACCTATTACTGTAGGGTGAGCTATCATGAAGCTAGCTGCTGTCCAAGTGCTCAGAGCTATTTACCACACACGAATAACATCCTGTCCGTGCTTAAACAAGGCGAATTCAAACACAGTCTCTGACAAATTTAGCGGTTTAAACTTTTTTGACCGATGATCTTCCCTATTGGTTATGCTGCTCTAGATTAATTGCACGCTAAACCTGAAAGCTCCATATCTTCAGTGTCTTGGATAGATGAGATGAGGCCTTGAAAGGGAACAATAGCAAACAGCACCTTACCAATTACGACGAGTTCGGCAACGCAGATAAGTGCCACAGCGTCGCGAAGCGAGACGCATCCGATGCAACATCGATGACGAGAGCAAGGTACTACCAAGAATACATTCATGGCTGCCTGAACGCCCGGTATAATTCAAGTTCCGTACCAGAAAACCGTGGTTTAGCTGACTTCTCAGCCCTTTAAAAGAAGCCGAGAGAGACCGAAAATTGTTTCATTTTCGGATTCCCGCGCTTACCTTACTGAAATGCTGCATGGACAGGAGAACCGTTTCCAAAGCATTGCTGACCAAAGAAGCTCTTAATGTACAGTTCCGATCAGGTAGGAGGTGTGAAGTTGATCCTGGAGAATTGTCCAAATTCCTTTTTACTGCTGCAGTTGCGCAGTTCTTGCAACCACGGCCAACCACTTTTCCATTATAGCCGTTGGATCGATGCTTCGCCGGAGAATATCTGGATTTTGAACAGCTCCTTAAAAAGTATCTAAAGGCACAGTTCACGATAAAAATGGTTTCCATGATTTTCTCGGATGATCACCCAGTGGCCCTCTAAGGTAACACAAAGGAAAGGCTATCGCGACGCAAAACTGAATAGATATCAGACGAGTGTCGAGGCGATTCAGTTTGTGCTATTCGCACCAAGACGTAGTTCAGTTCAGCATGCAATCAATTGATAGCCGAGTGGTGAGAGAATGTTTTACTGTAATTCCATTATTTTTTTTGCTGCTGTGGTCATTCTTCTAGTAACCTAAATTAGGAGGATGAGAAAGGTGAGCTATTCTTGCTGTTGATAATGTTTTTGCTAACTAATCTTAGTGATTTTGAATGTAGTGAATGAAATTTGAAAGACAGTTCCGCTTACTGTAGTCAGCTGTACTCAATGACACACATTGTATACCCGTCCAAACACCCCTCCTACGCCATTTTCGGACTTATTCTCGTCCAGCTCCGTTTTTGACTGCTTTTTAAAAGCCTTTCGTCTCTTTAGAGACACCTATTATCGTGCTTTCCTCATTCTCATCGCACTATTCTCCACCTTCTCTTTCATTTTTTGTCGGTTTCTGGATAACTAAGAAATACCGTTAACTATGCCTTCGAAGGTCAAAAATGGTTTCTGAGATTTCTCGAACCTGCGATCCCCAAGGGTAGCACAAGGCTCTCGAATCCAAAAACGGCCTAGATAGGACGTAGCAGGAACCCCAAAATCGACTTAGCCGAAGTACGCACTCGGACGAGCCCTCACGGGCTCTATAGGTTGCCCCACTTTCACCGGAACCCACACGGTGCACGCAGGCAGCTTATTGTATCGTGCCATACGCAAAGCATGCACATTTGGACAGCTCGTCCAGATACCCATTTCATGCAATTTTTGTCGTCACATTCTCGTCCTGTTCCCAGTCTTATTACTTTTTTAAAGCCTTATACTTTTCCAAATGCGCCGATCTTTGCGTTCTATTCACTACTTTTGCACTAACTTAAATTACCACTTCCATTATTCGACTGAACTACCCAATTTATAGTGCCCGTGATTTTGAATTCCACTACTGCTTTCGTATATAGGTATTATAGTATCAACGACAATTTGTCAGGACTGAAAAATTGAAGTGGTACGATCAATAACTTTTCGTTGAAGAAGTTACTGAAGGATTTGTCAAAAACTACTCGAATATTGTCCACTTCATGCATCTGGTATTAGAGTGTATAAAAGGGAGCCACCACAAGTCACTTGATAAGAGAGCACTTAGAACATGGTGCTGCTAAAGTTGCTCTCGAAGATGCTCCAGATAGTCTCCCTTCGTGTACAGCTCCCATATTTCTATACCTTCAGCCGTGAGAACTGAAACTTGACACCCTTCACTGAATGCTGCACCAACGTCGATTGGAATCACATAGGTTTGAAAAGCTTCTACCATTTCCTTTCACAGTTCCAAATTTTCTTCCATTCCTATTAAGACTTCATTATAGTTATTCGTGAGATAGCATTAGACGAAGACGGTTCCGAGAGGTGGTCGGTGAATATCGTGAAATTCTGAAAGGGCATCCCAGCATTATTACTTATCATTTATTAGGTTGGCAAATAAGTCCTGCGACAAAAAATTTGAAGCGTTGAAAATTTGTATCAACAGTGTGAACACGGTAGCAAGGGTGATAGACTTGTAGGAAATTCCTCAGGCAATTAACACATAAGTAAATAACGGCACGCTTGTGGGCTTTCAGAGCATTACGGTCAATGAATTGACAACACCCGATTCGTACCATCACCTTCTACTAAGCACGCCAAGGGAAAAACGCGGGTGTAGCAGCTCAAATTATCAGCAACTTATTCAGCGCTGGCACTGCTCACCGATCAACGGTCAACAATTGGTTGGATCGCTTCACTGGAGGAGATACCAGCCTTTGGGGTAACGCAAGCATCGTCCCTTAGTTTAATGGAGGTTGAAGGAATCCATCCATTATGAGTTGCTAAACGCAGACTAGATGGAGACAGCTATCGATTGAATCTATGATNTAGACCCACGTCAAAAGTTCACCGATCCCGATTGGTTCCAGATTACTAATCAGTCCTACTCCCGGAGTGTTCCCCCTTTTACCTACCATGTGCTCTCCCTTTTTGAACATCTCGTTGTGGAAAAGAAATTCGTAACTTAATGTGATCCAAAAACGGTAGCCAATTACTTCTTTGAGTCACAGCTCCCTCACTCCTGAAGAGATGGCATTAGTGATCGGCTCAAAGAATAAAAGAAGGTTGTTGACTTCTTTAGTAAATATTTTTCCGAAAACTGATTGATATGAAAAAATTTCGAAATGATTTAGAAAAGGTCTCCATTTTGTCGCAGGACTTATTTGCCAACCTAATATATTCTTAATCATCCAAACCCTCGAGCGAAGCGGATTCGTAGCCCTCCTGCTCAGAGAGTCATCACGAAAGAGCCATCACCATTGTGTATTCAATCTGCGGAACTTTCGATTCGTTGGCATATGTGGACAGTCGGTGGAGTTTGGATTTCAATATTCCTTTATATGTACGTACATGTCGCATCGGATGACACTGATCGCGCTGCTTTCCGAAATTTTGGAAGAGAATTTTGACATCAACCGACTGCAGCCAAACATTATGCATTTCCTCACTGCCGGAACAGTATCTATTATATTACTTCGGAAGGGAGCACTGACGAGCAAAAATATCAACCTTCCTTGGGCTGTTGAAGTTATCAGAGAACAAGTCGTTAATGACCTTGAGATGCAATGACTACTCTGAAAAGAGTTGAAGCTATCGTCGTGCTGTGTTAAGGTTTGGATCTGTAAGTGACTAAATTCGTGAGGTTGACACTGCGAACATTCCCCTCCCTCCCTTGCCTCATTCACACGCTTCCGCAAAGACCTATCGCTTAAACGTTCAGAACCGATTGCATTACTCGATGTTGTTTTCAATGTTGTCTATGACAGAGCAGATGAGTTCGCAAGAGTAGCGATGCAAACCCAATTAATGACGGCCTTGNGATCTGTAAGTGACTAAATTCGTGAGGTTGACACTGCGAACATTCCCCACCCTCCCTTGCCTCATTCACACGCTTCCGCAAAGACCTATCGCTTAAACGTTCAGAACCGATTGCATTACTCGATGTTGTTTTCGTTGTTGACTATGACAGAACAGATGAGTTCGCAAGAGTAGCGATGCAAACCCAATTAATGACGGCCTTGTGGCTTCCCTCCTCCAACTTGACGGTTCACTTTCCACGCCATGGAAAACAAGTGAAAAACTCGGAAGATTTTAATAAAGTTGATGTATCTATCTCATTTGAGAACTGTTCATACTGCCGTACTTGGGACTCCGTACTTGGAACCTTCCTGTCTTCCATCAGTTCCGCGTATATGTGTACATCTTCGTATAACAAGAGTTCGTTCATTAAAAGAATGAATCCTTTTCTTCTTTTGGTTACGGCACTGTCTCATAATCTGACACTTCAGCGCCTATCCCGAGCAGTACTACTCAGAGTTGCAGTATTGCGAATTCCTCAAGATCGGATGAGGTCAATTTTCAAGATCTGACATAAGTGCTGAGTTACTCAGTATGCTCTCCTTAGAGCAAGTGGAGCAACTGAAGAGCAGAATTTTTTAATGTGGACGACCCTTCATCTCCTCTCATTAGAGAGTCCGTTTACCCGAATGCATCTTTTTGGATCAGTCCCCTTCAAATTACTAGATGCATACTTGCAAACGCACCACGCACCCATACATTAATCCGCTTTGCGTGCTCGAATGATTCCTGCAAAAGCAGAAATCTATACTCTGAATTTACTTGCGCTTTGAGATTAATTCACAGTGGCTTCTTGCCGATTAGATACCTAATTGCCTACTGAGATCAACCCACATAGTTTATCCATCTCCTACTTGAGAACTTTTAGCGAGGAGTGAGTGGAATTCCGCAAGGGGGAGTTCTGTCACCGGTATTGTTCAATGTATATACAGCTGAGATTCCTTGTTTGTTTGATGGGTTAGATGTTTCAACAAAAATGTATGCTGACGATGTAAAAATTTACAAGGTCATAACTGAAGCGAAGGATTAGGAGCGGCTACAGAGGGCGATAAACATCTTAAGTGATTGGGCTAAGCGGTGGCAGTTCCCCTTGAATCCACATAAGACCAAATGTATGACGATTGGCAAGAAGTCCGGAATCCCTTCTAGTCTTCATACCGTTGAAGGAGTTACAATCATTGCTGTCACTTCTGTGAGAGACCTAAGTTTTCATTATAATGACTTTCCTGAACCCATCAGAACCCGTGTGCCCTGGCCTTATTGCGT